TCTGTTGCTCTGCTTGTGGAGTTCCCGTCCCCTCCAGCTCTTACTATTTCCCACTTCTTACATAAAATTCCATTCACTCTGCCTGCTAGTTGGCCATCAGGCTCAGCATCTGCTTTGACAGTCTATACTGCAGAAGCTTTCAGAGGCCCTCTGTGGCAGGTTTCAAGGTTGTTTCCTGTTTTCTTCTGGCTTTCAGAGGCCCTCTGTAGCGGGTTCCGAGGTTGTTTCCTATTTTCGTTTTCTTCTGATGTCCATCCTCTTTGCCTTTCCGGATGGGGATTGAACATTTTAGTTAGGGTCCTCTCTTTTGCTTAGTTTGTTTAGATGTACAGATTTTAGTGGGTTTATTCTATATTGTATGTTTATATGAGTGAGTATATACCGTGAGTGTCTTTTTGCTTCTGGGACAACTCACTCAGGATGATCCTTTCCAGGTCCCACCATTTACCTGCAAATTTCATGATTTCCTTATTTTTCATTGCTGAGTAATACTCCATTGTATAGATGTACCACAGTTTCTGCATCCATTCTTCAGTTGAGGGGCATCTGGGTTGTTTCCAGCTTCTGGCTATTACAAATAAAGCTGCTACAAACATGGTTGAGCAAATGTCCTTTTTGTGTACTTGCGCCTCTTTTAGGTATATGCCTAGGAGTGGTATGGCTGGATCTTGAGGAAGCGCTATTCCTAGTTGTCTGAGAAAGCGCCAGATTGATTTCCAGAGTGGTTGTACCAGTTTACATTCCCACCAGCAGTGGAGAAGGGTTCCCCTTTCTCCACAACCTCTCCAGCATGTGTTGTCCCTTGAGATTTTCATCTTGGCCATTCTGATGGGTGTAAGGTGAAATCTCAGGGTTGTTTTGACTTGCATTTCCCTAATGGCTAATGAGGTTGAGCATTTCTGTAAGTGCTTCTCTGCCATTCGATATTCCTCTGCAGAGAATTCTCTCTTTAGCTCTGTTCCCCATTTTTTAAGTGGATTACTTGGTTTGTTGCTTTTCAGCTTGTTTAGTTCTTTATATATATTGGATATGAGTCCTCTGTGCTCTGACTGTTTTGACCATCAATAAACTAACCTCTCTACACCAGGCAAGACTGGTTTGGGACACCAAACCAGCCACCACAAAACCTTCTACCTACGATTTGTCCTGCCTACAAGATGCACTGGGTAAATGATGTAGAAGAAATTGTGGGAGTGGCTAACTAATGAATGACTGGCCCAGCTTGAGACCCATGACATGGAGGGAAAAAGCCCACCCTTGACACTGCATGGAGAGCCAAGAAGCAGAGTCTGGATAGCCCAGAGAAAAATGACAAAAATCACCACAATAGTGAAACAATGGCTCTGGGGAAGGGGATTAATTTCTGCAAATTATTTTTCCCATTAGCTTTAGTATCAGTTTACGTTAATGTGTTTTCAGAATAAAATTGGAAAGCTATCAAAGTTGTATCATTTCATCAATAGAGAAGTTCAATTGATAAGGTAACTCGAGTCTTTAAAAAAATCTACAAGTTACTTTAATAAAGGAATGTGAATGCATACACAGCTAGGTAATGGGTAGAGGAGAAGTAGAAGAGATTCTGCCTTCAGGTAACTCTAACTAAAATGTGGTTTTCATCACTCACACAGCAGGATCACAGCCGCTGATACTGATGCTGACATCTCTCCGATCCACACACATCTGCCCTGATCTGCCAAAGCCCATCCTCCTGTCAAAAATGCTGAGTGCCCAATACCATGATGGTGTACCCCAGCACATGCAGAAAAGCCTTATCCGCTAGGTCTCATCCTAGGTTACTATCTTATATAATGTTTGTCTGCCAGTCATGGCTCGTGCTCTCAGAGATGACAGCTAATTTGTCCTACTCAGGGAGCACAGTTTAATTCCTGCGTGGATAAAAGACACCAGACACTTGATCAGTATAAAGAGCTATATTTAGCTTCTGGCTTCAATTCTTATCTTTCTCTCCTTCCCAAAGTGACTGTGGATCTTTTGAGTATAGGGGCCAGAGGAAGAAGGTCGTCAAAGGGGGTTCCATTATAAGCTGTTTTTGAAGTACCAGCAGCAATCAGCGCGCTCTCGGATATTGAGGTAAGGGAAGTCTTTGCCATGCTTGCCCACAGCAGGGCTGAGAGGCTCTCAGTTGTCCCTTCTTGCTAAGTGAATGCCTCACAACTAACCGGGGGAAGCTGTGCTCTGGGAACAGCTAGCTCTGTTTCTGTTAACTGGCTTATTAAGATTCAAATAGAGAGTAGTAACAGAACTCTGTTAGTAGAACTCAAAGTGCCATTTTCTGCATGTGCTGGCTAGTCTTATGTCAACTTGACACAAGCTACAGTTATCTGAAAAGAGGAAACCTCAACCAAGGAAACACCGCCATAATATCCAGCTGTAGGACATTTTCTTAATTAGTGATGGATGGGGGAGGGCCCAGCCCATTGTGGATGGTACATCATTTCCCAGTCCTGGGTTCTACAAGAAAGCAGGCTGAACAAGCCATGGGGAGCAAGCCAGTAAGCAGCGCCCCTCCAGGGCCTCTGCATCAGCTCCTGCCTCCAGGTTCCAGCCCTGCTTGAGTTTCTGTCCTGATTTAAGCCAAATGAACCCATTCCTCCCCAAGTCATGGTGTTTCATCATAGCCACAATAACCCTATGTAAGGCGCTGTGTCACAATAGTAGCTCACAGTCACTATTTCTTAGCTAACGGTGCCATGTTCTGTACAAACACATTCTCCATATCATTTCTTCAAACCCTCATAATACTATAAAGGAAATGCCACAATTAGCTTCATTATCAGATGTGAACAAGCCCAGACAAACTAAATAAGAACAGATTCTCATAGTAAACCAGAAGGCCAGAATTTGCACCCAGGACCCTGATGTCAAGTTCAAAATGTACCACCTCCTACGGTAGGAAGACAAAGCTCTCAGCACCCCGGGAATGGAACTGATTTGCCAAGCCAACTTGCCCAAAAGTGGTTTTACATTGGGTCTAGCAAGAAATAAACCATCAACTGAGTCTAGACAGCTCAAATAACAGAGGAGGCCTGGAAAACCTTAGCAGAAATACTTGACACTAAGTACTTAGTTCTCTTTCAGATTTTGTTTTCCCCATTTGAGACATTTTTTTTTTTTTTTAAATGTAACCCCACGCAGAAGAACATCTCCAGAGCCTGGAGCGGGAAGCTGAAACAAGCTGGTCTAAGCCCATTCACCTCAGGATACCCAGCATCCCTCAACAAATAAGCATGGGGATGGTTGGCCCAGGAGGGCTATTCTGCTCACCCCTAAGGGACTACAGGGCGTTCGGAATGGGTGTGCAATGTGCCTGTCTGCTTGGTGACCTCTCGGTGCTGCAGGATGTTGAACAGGCGATAGAACTCCAGAAAAGGAGGAACTATCGTGGAACTCCTGATCGCCCACTCGGTTCCACGCTGTCAGGTAGCTGTAACCTCCTAACACCCGAAGTCAGCTCCAGAGAGAAGAAAAGCACCTAGAAATGGGCACAAGAGTCTGCCAGGCAGTAGATAACTGACCCCAATAAGCCAAAGGCTGGCATCTGCTGTCATGAACCCCACGATCGCTCTCACAGCCTGAGGTCAGTCAGAGCAAATCATCCTATGTCGTCTCTCTCCCGGCTGTCCCTTACCCAAAGAGCACGGCTACTTGGGGGAGGGGCGCTGAACCGTTCAATTTCCGAGAAACTTGAGTTCCAGAGCAGCAATTCTCAACGTGTGGGTTGCGACCCCTTTAGGGGATGAGTGGAACCACCCTTTCGCAGGGGTCACGTAAGACCATCGGAAAACACGGATGTTTACATCACGACTCACAACAACAGCAAAATTACAGTTACAAAGTAGCGACAAAAATAATTTCATGAGGAACCGTATTAAAGGGTCGTAGCCTCGGAAAGGTAGAAGAAGCAGTATTTTTGAGGCTGAAGGCATTTAACTTAAGAGATTGTTTACAACCAAAATCACCCAGGCTTATTAGAGTCACTTACGACAAGCTTTGCTATTTGAGGGCATTTTAAAACACGGGGGAATGATGTGCGGAGTTTTCCACCCAGAAAGGTTGAGTTATTCAAATAAGGGTTGGGCACCTGGGCATATGCAATAACTCCAAAATTCTTAATATAGCCGACCCCCTAGCTCCCCAAAACTGGGGCAGCGCGGCTATTCTACCTGACTTACAGAGGAGCTGGCCCAGCGAGCATCCGGAAAGGGGAGTCTGAAACTGGCAGCCGCTGAGTGAGAGCCAGTCTGTGAGAGTTGCTGGAAGCATTCTCACGTTTGTCTACTGGCGGGCGGAAAATCAGTCGTGACTTTTCAATTCTTAGGTAAGCCTCTGCCAGTAAGACTGAACCTGGAACCGCTACCGGCCTAGGGCAAACGTCCCGGAAGGGTGGAGGGTGGGGAAGTTGGATGGGTCTAGGAAGTGGGTGGCGGGGAGGAAGCTGCAGAACTGGGAACCGGGAAGCCTGAGCTGATCGCACCCGGCAGCTTCTCTGGGCACCTAGAGGAAGTCCCAGGCCAGCGTACGCAGCGGTCACGCGCGCGTTTGGCAGTCCTGACCCTCCGGTTCCCGTCATCACTGAACCTCTGGCCTTGATTCCCGTTGTTTTAAAGAGAGAGAGAGAGAGAGAGAGAGAGAGAGAGAGAGA